ATGATTTCAACAAACAATATGAATTATTACGAAGACGTTACAAGGATGAAAAGAAGGCATTTGTGTGGTATTTAATATCTTCCGAAGTTGGTGGTAATTCCCGTGGACAATGTAGTCTTGGATTCTGCTACGAAGAAGGCATATGTACTGCTAAAGATGAAAAAAAGGCATTTGAGTGATATTTAAAATCTATTGAAAGTTGCAATTCCAGTAGACAATGTAATCTGGTTTCTGCTACGAAAAAGGCATAGTCACTATTAAAGATGAAAAAGCATTTGAATGGCATTTAAAATCTGCTGAAGGTGGGCAGCTTAATATTGGAGTTTGTTACCAACATGGAATAGGCGCTATTAAGAATGAAAAGAAGGCATTTGGGTGGTATTTATCTGCTGAATGTGATGACCCTGTTGGACAATGGAATCTTGGATTCTGCTATTCCGAAGGCATAGGCACTACTAAGGATGAAAAGAAGGTATTTGAATGGTATTTAAAATCCGCTGAAGGCGGTGATCCTTTTGGGCAACAGAATCTTGGAATTATCTACGAATACGACATAAGCACTACTGAGGATGAAAAAAAAGCATTTAAGTGGTATTTAAAATCAGCAGAAGGTGGTCATCCTAGTGGACAATATAAACTTGAATTATGTTATCGAAATGGCACTGGAACATTATTTAATCAGAAAACGCGATTGAATGGTTAAAAAATGCAAAATCAATAAATACCAAAAAAATAATTAACTCTAATAATAATGATATAGTTTGTAACTGTATATTCTACTATGTGGACACAACAATAAAAGACGCTATTAGTAATGAGACAGTTGCACTTAAATTATTACATGGATCAAAAAATAGCTGTAAGGAACTTATAAAAGAGGTAAATGTTTAATATTGCAATGTTTATTATTGAACTTTTCACTTGTTAATACATATAAATTTAAAGATAAATACTTATTTTAATAATGGAAATAAAAACGCAACTTTTTTTTAATGTTGTGGAGTGTTAAAAGATGAAGCCACTGGTGATTATATTGTAGTTATGCAATACGCACCAATGGGATTACGTCAGAATATTTACGTTGTTGCCATTTAATTCATTCGTATGACATCATTCATTGTGATTTACATCAGTGTTGGAAATCTAAATTGATTTTAATGTTCTCAGGCAAATTTTTTTTATATGTTTATTAATAAAAAAATTGGAAAATTGATGTTCTCAGAGAACATTGAGAACATCACTGATTTACATAGCTGTAATATATGAGTGTCGCTAAAAGAAGACCCGAAAATTTAAATATAAGTCATATTTAAATTTTCGGGGTTTCTTTTAGCGACACTCATATTACAAACCAATTTATATAATGCATATATTGGTGATTTAGGGTTTTGCAAGATCAATAAATAATTCATTAGGCACAAAATCTAGAGGGATTTATGGAGTGCTGCCATATATTGCACATAAAGTATTGCAGGAAGCACATTCACTAAAGCATCAGATATTTATTCTTTTGGAATTATTATGTGGGAAATTTCTTCATGAAATGTTGTATATCCTGATCATGAAAATAGTCATCACGATAATTTATGCTTGGCAATAGAAATTTATAATGAAAGATACTAATTTTAATATTAATGGCAATACAATTCATAGTAGCCAATTTATTCGTTATATTACTTAAAATTCAAACACACCAATTAATGCATCTGAGATTATTTCAAATAATAATATTTCTGTTGAATCTATTGAAAAATGATTTAATAAAGTTATTTAATTTGAGTAATTTCAATATTTGACTAGATTATGAAGTGTGTCGTTTACTATTTTTTTTATTGTAAAATCATACGGTTAACGTCTAACCAATCTTCCCGTGAAAAGATGGGTTAGATGATATCCATATGATTTACAAAAAAAAAGTAAATGAAGCACTTCATAGTCTTGTCAAATACTGAAATTACACAAATTCGCAGTAATGATATGCAAAATAATCTGAAATTATTGAAAAGGTCGATTAAATGTTACTTTAGAGACTGTATAAAAATAACTCCAAGGTTTGAATTGACTTTGTTACTATTCAGACTGAGGTTATCAAACGGAGGCTATGTGAAAACTAAGCATAATGTCATGTTATGTTATGCTTCATGTTTAGATAATGTCAATTATTAATTGGTTCGTGCCAATTCCTAACATTAATATAAATTACGAGACTTAATAAGGCTAATAATTATTATTTAGCTCTAATGTTAGTGATTTCTCAAAATGATTTTGATAATGATAATGTCGTGACTAAAGTTGGGATCCGACTAAAGTTGGAACTTCAGTTGACTGAAGTTGCACCTGACTGAAATTAGCCCCTGAAATTAGATCATCCTGCACGCATTAGTTAGCTGTTTTAGGCAGGTGCCAACTTCAGTCAACTGAAGTTCCAACTTTAGTCGGATCCCAACTTCAGTCACGACAATTAACATGAAAAATAGAACTTAAGCTTTTTTATTTCTGTTATAATGTTATGCGTCAATTTTTAATTTCAATTATCACCAACTGTGGAATAACGAGTCAATTCTTAACGTATTAAATTATTATTACCGTAAAATGTGGAAGATAAGCATTTATGGTGAATAAGAATATCTATAGGAAAAGTTGTGTTCTGTAAATAAGCACACTAATAGTATCGATATCAGCTGCAAGATATTTTTTCACTAATATTTAGGTAAGAACACGAATAAATTTGGAGACTTCCGATGACCTTTTTTATGATCAGTTGCTCTAATAACATTTTACAGCTTGGCCCGTATATCGCGAGATAATGTAAACAAAATACCCACAGTCAAGCATTAAAATTTGACAAATCAGGTGAAACACATTCGCGTCAATACAATTACCCATGGCAAAAAAAACACAGAATAATAGAACGCCCATTTTTTTATTAATTTGACAAGAGATGAGCTGCTACTTAATTCACTAAAAGCATACTGTACATAATCCAGCATAGCAATAACTCGTATCCGATAGATTCCGAAATCATTGATACACGAATTATTTATATGGACAATTGAAAATTTGATATGTCGTTGTAGTTTAAAATCCGGAAATTTCACTATCTGTTTACCCATAATAAGTTAAACCAAAGGTACCCATGTTTATTAATAAAATTTCTTCGTTTAGAGTGTTTCTAGTAGAAAATCTTTTCTAATCGTTTTCCCCACGGAGTTTTCAGAAGAATAAAGGTAAACGTTTGGCAATTGGTAGAATTTATTGAATTTCTACTACGTTTAAATTATTAAACGAATCTTAGATTTATAAAATGTTAAATCATGAGTGTTATACTAATATAAGATTTTATGCATTTATTAAATAGGCCAAGCGATATAAAGCTTTTAACAAGGTTTATTTACTTGAACCAAGAATAAATATATGTATTATTTATTAAACAGATAAGATAACTAAGATCTTTAATATGTAGTAAATATGGTGATGCGGTCTAATTGATAGTATAGTCCAAGGATATTAACACGCGACAATATGTTTTTGATAAAGTATAATAGTTAAAAGATGGATTAGAATTACTTTGGATTTAAAAAAAGCTTCGCTTTTGTTAATAATAAATTTATTTCGCTTCATTTCGCGAATCGAAAAAAATTTTAATTGATATGATTGGTTAATAGTCACGCATGGATCTACATAAATTAGCCAATCACATAAATGTTATAGCCCGTTATTTTCCGTAAAAATACGAGTTATTGCTATGCTACATAATCCTAAGAACTAGTTAACATTCCCCTGGGAAAAAAAACCACTTTTTATTAGAAAAAATAAAAAACTGGCTACAAAGAAAGAACTGGTCTACAAATGTGCTAAAATCACATCTACCTGCACTAAAATAGTGGGGCATAGTTTCCGTGCTGGAAGCACAACAAAATTCTAGAATTGGTGTTCAGCTACCGTTAATCCGGAGAATAAGTAGATGGACATCAGACTCATTCTTTAAATACATACGAGCACATCCCGCAATAGCAGCATCAAAGTAAATCATATTCTGATTAACGATCGCAACATAAACTAAGGAAGCCGATCGTAACCTTAATTAAAAAAATAAAAAAGAAGGAAGCTCGTATCCCGTTACGATTACGGTGAACTCTGTAAATCGCCACCCAAAAAAAATTCAGATCATGTAATTTACATCATTCTCGTATTCAAAGATTTAATTATAATTTTGCTTTTATTATTTTTATGAAAATTTTATCAATACTCTAATAAGGGAATCCACCAGGACGGCCACGAATTTTTCGGGTCACATGATGATCGACAGCAAATTTATCCAATGGGAAATCGTAATTAAGTGTAACGTAACACGATCAGAAAGTCCAAAACAAACATTCGTTTTTCTTTTATCTCAAGAATTTACATAAGAATTCGCCTTTTGTGCTCTAATTAAAGGGTTTTCTCGATTATTTTTACTAAATATTTCTTATCTCCAAACTCTAAATACGGCACTAACCCTAACTTTAACGAATTTTAGGATGTTTTGTTCTTATCACGTGACTCGAAAAATTCGTGGCCTGGTGGATTCCTAATAAGGATCGCATAATAATTGATATATTGTAATTATGAAATCACACGACCTGAAATTTTTTTGGGTGGCGATTTAACCTGAATCATACATCTAAATTGTACATTCAAATCAAATGGTGCAATAATACTGGCCGAAATTGTCCTTTATGTATGCCGTGATGAAAATTACATAAAATTTAATTTTTTCTGAAACTTGCGTAAAATTACATGTAATGTAAAATTGTAATACAGTAAGACCTCCCTAAATGCACGCCCTTGGGCCACAATTTAACAACATGCATTTGGAGAATAATAAGCAAAAGTGCATTTATAGAGGTCAAGTATATATTTGGGCAAGAATCTGGGCATACATTTAGAGAGGGTGTGCACTTATAGAGGGTGCACTTAGAAAGGTCTGACTGTACCAGGAACAGAGTGAAACGAAAAGTATGCGTTCAATGTTTTTCGAGTTCACTGTTACATCGATAATTCTGGTCGACTTGATTAGGACTTTGAAATGCAGTATCACGTAATCAGTAAGTACGTACGTACAGTACGTACGTATAAAGGAACATGTTTGTACGTATGTGCGTAGTACGTGTCACATAGTTAGTAAGTATAAAGGAGACATGTTTGTACGTATATGCGTAGTACGTACGTACGTACATATATGTTCTCAACATACAAAGATCATGGCAAATACACCAGAAGAATGGTTCGAAAAGGCTATTTCCGAAGGATACATTAATAATCTTGAATATAATAAATTTACAGATCCTACAATCATTGGCAGCGGAGGCTTCGGAAATGTTTTTAAATACGAATGGAAAGATTGTGGTTTAACAGTTGCTCTTAAATGTCTTAAAATCGATACCAATATAGGCTTAAACGAAAAAATTATTAAAGGCTTTATTAAAGAGGTATTTATTACACAACTAACGTAGTGCACTAACTAAAATACCATTGTTCATACCCCCAGTTAAAATACCCGGGCATATTTTTTTAACCAGGGATAATACCCGGATACAGTCAACTTCCTTTAAGTGCATGTTCTCTAAGTGCAAGTTATCTTTAAATACAATAAAATAGTCTTGGCCCAAGTTGGGACTTATAAAATAAGTACAAGTTCTTATTCTGTAAGTGCAAGATTTCTTTTAGCCAGTATATATTAAATTATTTTCTCTAATTGCAAGATATATTATTAACTTGCATTTAGGGAGAATTAATTATATATTAAGTTAGTTTTCTTTAATTAAAATTCTCTCTAAATGCATGATAATTTTTTGGCTCATTGACTTGCACTTAGAGAGAATTGACTGTATTTTGCGCGGAATTTTTCACACTACCACATAATGATTTTTGCATTACATACCAATGCAAAATGTCTTAATAAAATATACTTGTCACGGACAAGATACCCACAACTATTTTGTAAGTTTTTTAGCGGGTCTTTTAATCAGTGCACTACGGTACTTGCATTATTGTTCGGCGTAATACTAAATTTTTACAACTACGATATAAAAGCTAAAGCTATTACTAAGAGTTAGTAACCATCCTAATATTATTAAATTCTATGGTGTCACGAAAGGTAAATATGCAATTTACAAGTTTTGAATTTATATAAAATAATTATTAATAATATTAATTATTATTAAATAGATAGCAATGGATGTTATAATATGATTTTACAATATGCTAATGATGGGAATTTACGAGAATACCTAAAGACAAATTTCACGAGATTGCAATGGACAGATAAATTACATATCGCTATGGAACCAGCATTTGGACTTCTATTTTTGCATAATAATGATATTATTCATAGAGATCTCGTAAATATTATAGACTTTATTTGATTTTGAGGATTTTCTATTAATTTGATTCACTAATATATCCTTAAATTAGCATTCGAAGAATATCTTAATTCATGAAAATCAACCAAAAATTGCAGATTTTGGACTATCAAAGCAGATAAATGAAACGTATATAACGTCAAACTCAATTGTTCATGGGATGCCGGCATATATCGAACCTCAATGCTTTACTAAGCAAGGATATATACGTGACAAGAAATCCGACGTTTATAGCTTTGGAGTAATCCTTTGGGAAATTTCAAGTGGAAAACCACCATTTCAATCCTTTAATTCTAGAGATTTACTAGTTATTCACATATTTCAAGGAAATAGGGAAGAGCCTGTAAAAGGTACACCACCTCAGTATATTGAACTATATAAACAATGTTGGGACAATAATCCTACTAATCGCCCAGAAACAAAATTAATTTTCGATACTTTGAAGCAATTTAATCCTGACAATACTTTGAGTCAACATCATCCCATTGGTGTATCAACTCAAAATAGCAATACTTTCTCAAATCGTCTAAATAATCCAACTTCACTCGATATTACGACTTCATCTCCACTTTATTTACCCGATTCAAACATTTTAATACAAAACTTTACAACTGGTAATTTTTTTGATTTGTTTTAACTTATTAATTTGTTGCTATCTTTACCTAATCACAATAACATTTCATCCTTCAGAAATATACCGTACAGCATCTAGTAATGATGTATCTCGTAATGCTGTATCTAATAATGATGTATCTCGTAATACTGTATCTAATAATGATGTATCTAGTAATGCTGTATCTAGTAACGCTGTATCTAGTAATGCTGTATCTAGTAGTGCTGTATCTAGTAATTTTAATATGAGTAACATTGACAAATATGATTATATTTTTAAAGGTATGATTTATGGTTAAGGAATCTGAAACAATATGCATATACAAAAATTCCCTCATTTGGTTCGTTATTGGGTCAATCGTTAAAAGCCATTGTTTAAAATCGATATGTTATTTTACAAATTACCAAAAAAAATATCATATGGCTTGCATTTTGTTGAGTTTAAGAAACGAATTCATAGATAGTATCATAGATGGCGCACTACCTAACATTGGATTAATTTTTTTTTTTAGTTGTCTTAACTGGTGACTGTTATGTCGGTAAATCTAGTCTTCTTTCACGTTTCACTCGTAATGAGTTCAATTTGAGGACTATTGGTACTACCGGTGTTGACTTTAATAGCAGGTATATTCAAGTAGATAACAACATTATCAAAGCACAGATTTGGGATACTGGTAATAATTTTAAAATTTTATATTAATTCATTTATTCTTTTTGACCACGATTCTGATCATTTGTTTATCTTCTAAAAGCTAGCCAAGAGCGTTATAGTTCTATTAGAAGAGCGTAAGCAATTTTATCTGGTCACGCCAACTCAGCGTTTTAGTATAATCTAAATTTATATTTTACCATGATTATTACAGATATTATCGTGGAGCCAATGGCGCATTACTTGTTTATGATATTGCCAAATATGTAACATACGAAAATGTCAAATGCTGGTTGAAAGAATCAAGAGAATCTGCTGACAGTAATATTGACATTATGCTTATTGGAAATAAGAGTGATTTAATACATTTGCGAGAAGTTTCTACTGAAGAAGCCAAGCAATTTGCCGGTATGTTTATATTAATGTCTGATAGTTTTTTTTTAATGTTATGGTATTAAATAATATTTTCATACAATATAAATTATATAAGAGGAAAACAATCTTTATTTCATCGAAACTTCTGCTATGGATGCTAGTAACGTAGAATTTGCTTTCCAAAACATTCTAACCGGTAATTTTTTGCTTTGTTTCAGCTTGTTAATTTATTGCTATCTTTATCTCATTACTATAATATTGCATCTTTCAGAAATTTACCGTAGGGTATCTAATGTATCTCGTAATGCTGTATCTAGTAGTGCTGTATCTAGTAATACTGTTATATCTAGTAATGCTATATCTAGTTTGTTCTCAATGTTCTCAAGATTCAAAAAAAATTGAGGACATTATATTTGAAGTTCATGTTCTTTTTTGAGAACAATTCTAGAACATAAAATTTATAATCTACGTTCTCAAAAACAATTTTTAATAATATTATGAGGCCACGCAAACTTATACTATCACCAATTAACCTTTAGTAGCATAGCGACCCGAATTTTAATTTTTTTAAAAAAAAATTTTTTATTATCGATAAAAAATTTATTGACACCTGAATATCCGGTAAAAAAAAATTATATTAAAAAAAAATTTAATAATGATATATGAACAGATTTAGTATTTTTACTTGGTGTGAAAGGCGATCTATTATTTTACATATGCTAGGAGGATTAAGTGTGACGATTATATATAAATGCTTCTTTTTTTAAGTAAAATCAGTTCTAAATCGTTTTAGTTATATTTTTTAAACAATTCTAGATCTGAGGCATAA